ATGTAGAACCAATAATGGTCTTTCAATGAGTTCATTTGAAATACATAATGTTTAATATGTTACAATTAAAAATAAAATATTTTGCATTACAAATCACAATTTCCATTTAAAAATCTAAAGCAACTATTGATTCTTATCACTTTCTTTCAAGTCTTATTAACAGTGGAATGATAATTTTATCTCATAGCAAATGCTTTTTTCGCAAAGACCAACAACAAATTTCAGTATAAAACCCAGAAATCAAAAACTTTTGAGAAAGTTATTTGTTKAGGGCAAAGAGGCGGAGCTAATCAGAAAATTGAAGTTAAAAAAAACCCTTTTGTTCTGAAGATAATGAGGGAGTTGGGATTTTTAAGAGACTTTTTAAAATAAATTGTGTATTCTCAAAAGGTTAATTATCTCTTAAAAACATCTCAACATGTGAGATAGTTGCTAAATGCTGTGGGGATGAAAGCTTTGCTATAAAATCTGTTTTGAGTCAATCTAAGACACCAAATCTAAGGTAAATCTGATGTTTGCTTTACTTTTGTAATAATTAAAATAAAATAAAAATATCAGGACACGTTATTTTAGCTAAAGTCCCTAAAAAATTTTGGGAATCAAGAATGAAATAAAAAGCAAACAGTTTTAGTCRTTTAACACAGTCCATATAAAAAGGTTGACAGGCAACAAAAGATGGGTCAATATTTAAAAATTTTGAGGAGAAAACAATCAAAAACTATTTTGACAGGAGATCAATTTACTGCTGATGGCCTACTTTTTAATATATGTTGTATTACTAGAAATAATATTTTATCTCAGCATTTGTAAGACCTTTTTGATCGTTTCACCTTGTGATTATTGGATCTAAAATAAAACCCCTGCCCTTCATGTAATTACTGCATTTATGGATGGCCTCCATTTCACTCTGAGCAGAATGGAGGTAAAGATAGTGACACTGAAGAGAAGGCCATTTTAAAAGGACAGGAACACAGCGACAGTCATTTTGTTAGGGTTACAGAGCACTTCACGCTTCATCAGACACAGAGACATCCACTTAGACAGGACATTATAAGGCACAGTTTTCATTTCTCACTTTAAAACACCAGACCGTTTGGGTTCCTCATCTCATCCACCAGAGGAAAAAAAAAAGTTTAAGTACCCATTTATGAGGAGTCACTTGGCACGGAGGGCTTCAACTCTCTATCGATCCATTTTTCTGCTGAACAACTGACCAAGAGAGTGAAAAGCTACGGGAGAATCTGAGAGACAGGCAGACAGGACTCTCTTGTAGCCCATAGACAAACCACTCGTTACCATTTTGTGAAGTTTGAACGTTTTGTGTTCGTTCTCTCTCTCTTGCTCGCTCATTGTGTGTGAGAATATCGTTTTCCTGACACACGAGTTGGTCTGTTTAGAACTGAGAATACAGAGAAAGGAGAAAAAAAGAGGAAAAAGAGACAAGCACAAGTGGTTTGGATATTGGTTGGGTTTCTTTCAACATCAAACAGGCACTTCTTCTTATAATCAGGCTTGAGTAAAGCCAGTTGGTGTCACAGCGACAATCAGCTCAGAAATACTTTCACTGTAGCTCTACAGAACAGTGGGATGCTTAGGATTACTTTCACATTAGCCAACTCCCTTATCATAACACACCAATATTTGTACAGTATTGATTAAACCAAGTAAGGGCCTCCAAAAGCACGCCACTCCAAAAGAACAAAGCTGCTACTGAGCTGTTGTAAATTTGCTACTGGAGTTGTCATTGTCAAAATTTCAGGCATTTTCTTCAAAAATAATCTTAAAAATGATTCATGACAAGAAAGACTGAAGTCTGTTGAAATGCTAGGGGGTCAGTGATGGACTGAACTGCCCTATCTATCTCTGCTCCATCTTGACAAACGCACACCAGGGCTTACATGG